TGTGGGTTGAGTGACTTTAGAATCTATATGTTTTACAAGCTAACCACTATATATATTGTATCTTTACTGCAGATTAAGGAAGCTTTATCCGAGTGTGGTGAGATTCAATACTGTGGGTCGAGTGAAGTGAGATCAAAATTGAGAGAATCTACTTCTGACTTGGTTACTTAATTCACTGTGGGTTGAGTGACTTTAGAATCTATATGTTTTACAAGCTAACCACTATATATATTGTATCTTTACTGCAGATTAAGGAAGCTTTATCCGAGTGTGGTGAGATTCAATACTGTGGGTCGAGTGAAGTGAGATCAAAATTGAGAGAATCTACTTCTGACTTGGTTACTTAATTCACTGTGGGTTGAGTGACTTTAGAATCTATATGTTTTACAAGCTAACCACTATATATATTGTATCTTTACTGCAGATTAAGGAAGCTTTATCCGAGTGTGGTGAGATTCAATACTGTGGGTCGAGTGAAGTGAGATCAAAATTGAGAGAATCTACTTCTGACTTGGTTACTTAATTCACTGTGGGTTGAGTGACTTTAGAATCTATATGTTTTACAAGCTAACCACTATATATATTGTATCTTTACTGCAGATTAAGGAAGCTTTATCCGAGTGTGGTGAGATTCAATACTGTGGGTCGAGTGAAGTGAGATCAAAATTGAGAGAATCTACTTCTGACTTGGTTACTTAATTCACTGTGGGTTGAGTGACTTTAGAATCTATATGTTTTACAAGCTAACCACTATATATATTGTATCTTTACTGCAGATTAAGGAAGCTTTATCCGAGTGTGGTGAGATTCAATACTGTGGGTCGAGTGAAGTGAGATCAAAATTGAGAGAATCTACTTCTGACTTGGTTACTTAATTCACTGTGGGTTGAGTGACTTTAGAATCTATATGTTTTACAAGCTAACCACTATATATATTGTATCTTTACTGCAGATTAAGGAAGCTTTATCCGAGTGTGGTGAGATTCAATACTGTGGGTCGAGTGAAGTGAGATCAAAATTGAGAGAATCTACTTCTGACTTGGTTACTTAATTCACTGTGGGTTGAGTGACTTTAGAATCTATATGTTTTACAAGCTAACCACTATATATATTGTATCTTTACTGCAGATTAAGGAAGCTTTATCCGAGTGTGGTGAGATTCAATACTGTGGGTCGAGTGAAGTGAGATCAAAATTGAGAGAATCTACTTCTGACTTGGTTACTTAATTCACTGTGGGTTGAGTGACTTTAGAATCTATATGTTTTACAAGCTAACCACTATATATATTGTATCTTTACTGCAGATTAAGGAAGCTTTATCCGAGTGTGGTGAGATTCAATACTGTGGGTCGAGTGAAGTGAGATCAAAATTGAGAGAATCTACTTCTGACTTGGTTACTTAATTCACTGTGGGTTGAGTGACTTTAGAATCTATATGTTTTACAAGCTAACCACTATATATATTGTATCTTTACTGCAGATTAAGGAAGCTTTATCCGAGTGTGGTGAGATTCAATACTGTGGGTCGAGTGAAGTGAGATCAAAATTGAGAGAATCTACTTCTGACTTGGTTACTTAATTCACTGTGGGTTGAGTGACTTTAGAATCTATATGTTTTACAAGCTAACCACTATATATATTGTATCTTTACTGCAGATTAAGGAAGCTTTATCCGAGTGTGGTGAGATTCAATACTGTGGGTCGAGTGAAGTGAGATCAAAATTGAGAGAATCTACTTCTGACTTGGTTACTTAATTCACTGTGGGTTGAGTGACTTTAGAATCTATATGTTTTACAAGCTAACCACTATATATATTGTATCTTTACTGCAGATTAAGGAAGCTTTATCCGAGTGTGGTGAGATTCAATACTGTGGGTCGAGTGAAGTGAGATCAAAATTGAGAGAATCTACTTCTGACTTGGTTACTTAATTCACTGTGGGTTGAGTGACTTTAGAATCTATATGTTTTACAAGCTAACCACTATATATATTGTATCTTTACTGCAGATTAAGGAAGCTTTATCCGAGTGTGGTGAGATTCAATACTGTGGGTCGAGTGAAGTGAGATCAAAATTGAGAGAATCTACTTCTGACTTGGTTACTTAATTCACTGTGGGTTGAGTGACTTTAGAATCTATATGTTTTACAAGCTAACCACTATATATATTGTATCTTTACTGCAGATTAAGGAAGCTTTATCCGAGTGTGGTGAGATTCAATACTGTGGGTCGAGTGAAGTGAGATCAAAATTGAGAGAATCTACTTCTGACTTGGTTACTTAATTCACTGTGGGTTGAGTGACTTTAGAATCTATATGTTTTACAAGCTAACCACTATATATATTGTATCTTTACTGCAGATTAAGGAAGCTTTATCCGAGTGTGGTGAGATTCAATACTGTGGGTCGAGTGAAGTGAGATCAAAATTGAGAGAATCTACTTCTGACTTGGTTACTTAATTCACTGTGGGTTGAGTGACTTTAGAATCTATATGTTTTACAAGCTAACCACTATATATATTGTATCTTTACTGCAGATTAAGGAAGCTTTATCCGAGTGTGGTGAGATTCAATACTGTGGGTCGAGTGAAGTGAGATCAAAATTGAGAGAATCTACTTCTGACTTGGTTACTTAATTCACTGTGGGTTGAGTGACTTTAGAATCTATATGTTTTACAAGCTAACCACTATATATATTGTATCTTTACTGCAGATTAAGGAAGCTTTATCCGAGTGTGGTGAGATTCAATACTGTGGGTCGAGTGAAGTGAGATCAAAATTGAGAGAATCTACTTCTGACTTGGTTACTTAATTCACTGTGGGTTGAGTGACTTTAGAATCTATATGTTTTACAAGCTAACCACTATATATATTGTATCTTTACTGCAGATTAAGGAAGCTTTATCCGAGTGTGGTGAGATTCAATACTGTGGGTCGAGTGAAGTGAGATCAAAATTGAGAGAATCTACTTCTGACTTGGTTACTTAATTCACTGTGGGTTGAGTGACTTTAGAATCTATATGTTTTACAAGCTAACCACTATATATATTGTATCTTTACTGCAGATTAAGGAAGCTTTATCCGAGTGTGGTGAGATTCAATACTGTGGGTCGAGTGAAGTGAGATCAAAATTGAGAGAATCTACTTCTGACTTGGTTACTTAATTCACTGTGGGTTGAGTGACTTTAGAATCTATATGTTTTACAAGCTAACCACTATATATATTGTATCTTTACTGCAGATTAAGGAAGCTTTATCCGAGTGTGGTGAGATTCAATACTGTGGGTCGAGTGAAGTGAGATCAAAATTGAGAGAATCTACTTCTGACTTGGTTACTTAATTCACTGTGGGTTGAGTGACTTTAGAATCTATATGTTTTACAAGCTAACCACTATATATATTGTATCTTTACTGCAGATTAAGGAAGCTTTATCCGAGTGTGGTGAGATTCAATACTGTGGGTCGAGTGAAGTGAGATCAAAATTGAGAGAATCTACTTCTGACTTGGTTACTTAATTCACTGTGGGTTGAGTGACTTTAGAATCTATATGTTTTACAAGCTAACCACTATATATATTGTATCTTTACTGCAGATTAAGGAAGCTTTATCCGAGTGTGGTGAGATTCAATACTGTGGGTCGAGTGAAGTGAGATCAAAATTGAGAGAATCTACTTCTGACTTGGTTACTTAATTCACTGTGGGTTGAGTGACTTTAGAATCTATATGTTTTACAAGCTAACCACTATATATATTGTATCTTTACTGCAGATTAAGGAAGCTTTATCCGAGTGTGGTGAGATTCAATACTGTGGGTCGAGTGAAGTGAGATCAAAATTGAGAGAATCTACTTCTGACTTGGTTACTTAATTCACTGTGGGTTGAGTGACTTTAGAATCTATATGTTTTACAAGCTAACCACTATATATATTGTATCTTTACTGCAGATTAAGGAAGCTTTATCCGAGTGTGGTGAGATTCAATACTGTGGGTCGAGTGAAGTGAGATCAAAATTGAGAGAATCTACTTCTGACTTGGTTACTTAATTCACTGTGGGTTGAGTGACTTTAGAATCTATATGTTTTACAAGCTAACCACTATATATATTGTATCTTTACTGCAGATTAAGGAAGCTTTATCCGAGTGTGGTGAGATTCAATACTGTGGGTCGAGTGAAGTGAGATCAAAATTGAGAGAATCTACTTCTGACTTGGTTACTTAATTCACTGTGGGTTGAGTGACTTTAGAATCTATATGTTTTACAAGCTAACCACTATATATATTGTATCTTTACTGCAGATTAAGGAAGCTTTATCCGAGTGTGGTGAGATTCAATACTGTGGGTCGAGTGAAGTGAGATCAAAATTGAGAGAATCTACTTCTGACTTAAAAAGTAAATGAAAGTTAGTCAATAAAAAATTTCTTAATTGTTTAAAATTAAGAAAATTCAATAATTTTAGAATGAGGGTTTAGAGCTCCTAGAAGGCTTCTCCCTAAAAATCTCATTTTCTTAATATAATATATCGATTAGATTCTTTGTCAAATTGATACATTACTTATAGAATATTGGAAAATGGTTGAGACCTTTTTTTTCTTGACCCCCACCACCCCCAATGTATTGGGATTGACTAACTTTTTATTTTTTTTCCTCCTATCATTCACTGACATGTGTCTGTAGGATTGTAAGGGTCAAGAAAAAAAAAGAGACTCTAACATTTTTTTACAAGAGAAATGTTAGGGATCATGAAATTTTTTTCATGAAAATGATCATGAAAGATTTATGACTTTTAGATTATCTTGATTAGTGTGTGGTGTTTTATTCTAAGTGTAATCTAAAGGTCACAAATCTTTCATGATCATTTTCATGAAAAACTTTTCATGATGCCTAGTACTACTGTTTTTACAATATTATTAACAATCCTTGTAACATTTGTTTTTGCATATTGAAAAAATTCACAGTTAAGATTAATAAAATTTTATAAATTTAAGATCCCTATTGATAATGTCGGTTCCCTTAAAAAACAACTATAGACAGAGAATCCTAATTCAATTCAAATTTATGATCTTATATAAGTCTATCAATACTTGATCTCCAAGAAAGAAATTATATGGATGTAAAACAGAGCAAAGACAAGAAGAGCAGGGACATGAAAAACATCAGAACAAACACCGATGTCGACGAGGAGGAGGAGTTATCGTCGTCGTCGTCGTCTTCTGTCTATCTCCCTCTTGAGTTGGTCTTCTCTGAGATATTCACCAGATTACCCGTGAAGTCTCTGTTTCGATTCAAGCTCGTCTCTAAATCAATCCTCTCTTTGACTCGCAACGACCCGTCTTTCTTCAATCTCCACCTCTCTCGCTCGAAAACTCGCTTGGCAGCTACTACTCTCCTCATCTCTGTATTCTGCGGAGGTAAATGGCGTGAAATATTATCAGCAAAACTTGACGGAGGAGGAAGAAGAAGAAGAGGAAGAGTCACCCAACTCTTCACCATGCCCAAAGTAGATCATACACATTATCGAACTTTGTCTTACGACGTTAATGGCTTGCTCTGTTTGTCCAGTGACCCTCTGTTCAACATATGCCCGTATGTTTGCAATCCCACCACTCAACAATTCGTCAAACTTCCCCCAATCGAAGACAGAGCAAATCAAATTATATCTTATTTCCTTGGCTTTGATCCATCTTCTAGTAAGTTCAAAGTGCTCAACTTTCACCTTTACAATTATTCTGTGATCGCATACGATTATCCGGGGATCGCATACCGTGTTTTCATGTTGGGTGGTAGTTCGTGGAGGACAATCCATCCCAGTTTTCCGTTTGAAGAAATATGTGATTGGTTTATAAAATCGGGTAGAAGCGTTTGTTTAAACGGCACAATCCATTGGTTTGTTAAAGCAAAGAATGCCATCGTGGCATTCGACTTGAAAGATGAAAACTTTTTTGTAATCCCAGCCCCCAACTGTGTTGTCATGCCAGAATCCAAATCCGAATCCGAATCAGAATCAGAAGCTGTTCTAGTTCAAGTGAATGGTGTTTTGGCTGTCATTCATTACAAACGTGATAGTTCTAATAAAACGATGGAGATGTGGGTGTTGGAGGATTACCAAAGACATGTTTGGATCAACCATGTTATTACTATTGATTTTTCATCTCACAACTATAAATATTTTTGTCCAATTGGTTCTATACCTACGGGTGAGATCTTGCTAGTGCCTTTTACCAGTTGGGCTTTGGCGTGGGGAGTTCGCATACCGATGATTTATTATGATACGAAGGACAAAAGTTGTAGGATTATTGAAAATTGCTCAACTGCCTCAATGTGTGCCTTGGGGTTATATTGATGTTCGAGGAATGACGACTTATACTGAAAGCTTGATTTTTCCGACGATGGATGATCAATAGTTGAGAAAAAAATGCTTTAAAAAAAAGGTCAGAATTTGAGCCTATATTTATTATAAGATTCAAACTTAGAATTAACCTGATCCATGTATTTTTAATTTTATGGTCTTGTTTGGTATTTTTTTATACTCTTAATTTTTTTTGTGGTCTTGTTTGGAATTTTTTTTAAGGTATTATACTCTTAATTATTTTCAAAGTTGTTTTGGTTATACAGTAATTAAGCAGTTTTTCAAGTGGGTTTATAAATCCAGAAAAAGAATCAGAATATTACCTAGAATTGTTAATTAATAGTCAAGATTCACTAATGACGTGCCCCGAAATAGCACCTTCAAATACGAACCTTTGATTTATCACTGTGGGTTTTTTTCGGGTCAAAAAATAAATAAATAAATTATTTATTTTCAAAAATACACTTGCGTTTATTTTTTTAAGTGGCAAATTAAATCGGATTAATTTTTTTTTATGAATGATGGATATAACGATTCTTAAAAAATGAATCACTCAAATTATCAAAAGAAGATAATTGAAGGGAAGCATCTCCATTGGTGATTCCCGTAATTTGTCTCTTGTCAATATAGGCCTCATTTGAAAATAAGTTATTTTAATAATTTTTTTGCTAAAATATGAGTTAAAAAAAATAGTATGTTTGAAATCTTTTTTGGCTTTTTACCCCCCCAAAAAAAAAAAAAAGAATACAAAAAGTGGAGATTATTTTTTTGTATAATTTGTTGGTTTTTTAACTTTTTTAGGGGGTGTTTGAGAATATGTTATCTTAGTTGATTTTTTTTTTTTTTTTACAAAAAGATGTACAAAAAATAGAGAGGCCCTGTTTGTTTTCAAAGGTATAATAGAGAAGATTAATAGTGAGGGGATTGTTAGTGAGGGGATTAAGTAAAATTGTGTTTATTTTGATAATAGTCATTAGTGTAGGAATTGTTAAATTATTTTTATATAAAATAATAAAACAAATAAAAAATAAAAATTTCTAATCCTCTCACTATTTTTGTAATACCATCTCCACCTTCTCCTCCTTCTCCATCCCAATCCCCCTTCCAACCTCCATCTTAATTTCCTCATCCATCCTAATCCCTTCCCTAACTCAACAAACAAACACAACACTAAATAACCATACTTTCATCCTAATCTCCTCCCATCCTTTACACCCCAAAACAAACGAGGCCACAGAGTAATGTGATTAGATATTTTGACTTTTATTAGCTATTTTATCCCCAACTCAGCTTGTCAAATAACACCTTAATAACTTTTTAAGTAAAAAATCAACACTTTCCAAACAAGGCATAGTACATATAAATCCAAGGGTGATGATACCTATAAATCCCAAGTTATGAACTTATTCACTGTTTAGTCCCAAAAGGTTTTTTATAAACCAAATGGTCTCATTATAAGGGAATTGACCATTGAGAGCATATTCATAACATCCATAAGATACAATAACACACCCATACTTCACACTTTTAAAAACCCTTACACATTGAAACAATTCAAAAATCGAAATAACAAACAGACATTGGCAGTGAAAGCACCAAATAAAAAAAATGAAAACCAAATAACAACAGCGCATGCGTGGTTGTTACCAGATCCAAGAATGAAGCCGTGTGGTCAGCCGAAAAACGTAGAAAACAGGGACAAAAACACACCAATATTCGCTACTGATTTTGCAAAACAATGGACTAAAATCAGCCTGTAACATCACATTAGATACACAAAACACCCAAAGACCATCAAATAAAATCAACAACATCAACTGACAACCCAAAAACATCAATAAGATTGCAACCAAATAACATCACATGACATCAAATAACATCAATTGACAACCACATAACAACAACAACATTGCACTGAAAGTAACAAAAAATCACAAACATCGCATACTGGTCAGCCGAGAAACGCCAAACATAGCGACAGTAAAACTATGTGTCAACACCGAGTTTTCTTATGCACCAATGGAACAACCCAATGAACAAAACATGTTTCCAAACCTTTACAGACATTAACATTACCAAACCCCCAAACCAACACACCAAACCCCCCCAATTTAGGAAACAAAAAAGGGTATTATTGTAACCTACAAAATGCCCAAAATTAACTAAGCAACATTACCAAAAAAAAAGGGACTAAATGGTACATAAGAAAACTCTTAGAACTAAATGGTTCAACTTTCACAAAATAGGATTTATGGATAAATTTTCTTAAATCCAATTGTATTAATTTTTTTTTTTTTTTTAATATTGTTAGAATTTAATTCCATTGATAACAAACCTCTTATTTGGTCAATGCTATTTCACCTCTACAAAACCTCTTCTAGTTAGGGAACTCTAATATGGGGCTTGTTTGACATCCCCTAAACTCTCTCTCTCTCAGCACAACGAAGAGTTTTTCAGAGGATTTCGCAGGTTTTTTTGCCTCTGCCTCGGCCTCAGGCTCCGTCTTGGTTAAATAGCCGAGGCAGCCACGCGCATCGCGCGCCTCTTGACGCCCGACAAACTGGCACGCCTTTTCATGACACATCTTTTGATAAAGTGGGCACGCCTTTTGAGGGCACGACTTTTGAGGGCTCGATATCTACATCCATGTATATCTTTTGGGCAGCCTATATACACACTCATACAGTGTCTTGTACACCGGTTAGCTTTATCAATCCCTTTTCAACCTCAAATAGGTTTCTATCTTCACACCTATTTGAGTTTGAGGGGGGGTTATACACAGTATCATGTATAGGGTTATACACAGTATCATGTATAAGTCGCTCATGGCGCACTCCCTAAGTCGCCCCCTTGGTGCACCACCACAACCTCTGCTACACCGGTTCGACATGACCCCATAAACTGTCTTCTACATCGGTCTGACACGACCACACAGTGTCTGCTACAACGGTCCGACATGACCCCGTAAACTGTCTGCTACAACGGTCCGACACGACCGTACCGTGTCTTCTACAACGGTCTGACACAACCATACAGTGTCTCCTATCCCATTTTTAATTTTATTTGTCAGCTTATTTTTCTGTTTTGTTACTCTCTCCAAACTCAAGTTGGCTAGTACCTATCCTCCTTGCGTTTGAAGGGGGCTGTTAATGTAAATTGTAAAAGTAAATGTAAATTACCACTACCACCCACTCCACCTACCACCTCCACTACCACCCACTCCACCTACCACCTCCACTACCACCTTCACCTACTCCCAAATCCTCTCCTATATAAATCCTTGTAATATACACAATATACACATCAATCAATACACATCCATCAATAATACATGAATTTTAACACAGTAATTAAGCAGTTTTTCAAGTGGGTTTATAAATCCAGAAAAAGAATCAGAATATTACCTAGAATTGTTAATTAATAGTCAAGATTCACTAATGACGTGCCCCAAAATAGCACCTTCAAATACGAACCTTTGATTTATCATTGTGGATTTTTTTCGGGTCAAAAAATAAATAAATAAATAATTTATTTTAAAAAATACACTTGCGTTTATTTTTTTAAGTGGCAAATTAAATCGGATTAATTTTTTTTTATGAATGATGGATATAACGATTCTTAAAAAATGAATCACTCAAATTATCAAAAGAAGATAATTGAAGGGAAGCATCTCCATTGGTGATTCCCGTAATTTGTCTCTTGTCAATATAGGCCTCATTTGAAAATAAGTTATTTATATAATTTTTTTGCTAAAATATGAGCTAAAAAAATAGCATGTTTGGAATCTTTTTTGGCTTTTTACCAAAAGTAATCCTTTTACCCCCCCAAAAAAAAAAAAAAGAATACAAAAAGTGGAGATTATTTTTTTGTATAATTTGTTGGTTTTTTAACTTTTTTAGGGGGTGTTTGAGAATATGTTATCTTAGTTGATTTTTTTTTTTTTTTTTTTTACAAAAAGATGTACAAAAAATAGAGAGGCCCTGTTTGTTTTCAAAGGTAGAATAGAGGAGATTGTTAGTGAGGGGATTAAGTAAAATTGTGTTTGTTTTGATAATAATTGTTAGTGTAGGAATTGTTAAATTATTTTTATATAAAATAATAAAACAAATAAAAGATAAAAAATTCTAATCCTCTCACTATTTTTCTAATACCACCTCCATCTCCACCTCCTTCTCCATCCCAATCCCCCTTCCAACCTCCATCTTAATTTCCTCATCCATCCTAATCTCTTCCTCAACTCAACAAACAAACACAACATTAAATAACCATACTTCCATCCTAATCTCCTCCCATCCTTTACACCCCAAAACAAACGAGGCCAGTGAGTAATGTGATTAGATATTTTGACTTTTATTAGCTATTTTATCCCCAACTCAGCTTGTCAAATAACACCTTAATAACTTTTTAAGTAAAAAATCAACACTTTCCAAACAAGGCATAGTACATATAAATCCAAGGGTGATGAACCAATAAATTCCAAGTTATGAACTTATACAATGTTTAGTCCCAAAAGTTTTTTTATAAATCAAATGGTTCTATTATAAGGGAATTGACCATTGAGGGCATATACATAACATCTATAAAGATACAACAACACACCCATACTTCACACTTTAAAAAACCCTTACCCATTGAAACAATTCAAAAATCGAAATAACAAACAGACATTGGCAGTGAAAGCACCAAATAAAAAAAATGAAAACCAAATAACAACAACAGCACATGCGTGGTTGTTACCAGATCCAAGAATGAAGTCGTGTGGTCAGCCGAAAAACGCAGAAAACAGGGACAAAAACACACCCATATTCGCTACTGATTTGCAAAACAATGGACTAAAATCAGCCTATAACATCACATTAGATACACAAAACACTCAAAGACCATCAAATAAAATCAACAACATCAACTGACAACCCAAAAACATCAATAAGATTGCAACCAAATAACATCACATGACATCAAATAACATCAATTGACAACCACATAACAACAACAACATTGCACTGAAAGTAACAA